TTATTTTACTACAGTGTGGTTCGAGGATTTTTCCAAATCAGAGGCCATAAAGAGGTCCCCTGTAGGAGACAGTCAGTAAGATTAATAAGCAGTACACTCACACTCCTTGCTTATCATTGTTACACTTGGACACCTCACACACACATTTCTCTCTGACTGACCTGTCGTCTGGGCCACTTTGATCAGACCTCTGTGGAACATGTTCTTGAGACCAGCCTTCAGATAGAAGTTCTTGGCTCCTCCGGTCACTGAGATCAGCAGGTTGGGAGGAGACAGCTTCCACTGCTCTGTCAGTAAGCGGTACAGGACTTCAGGGCTGGTGTCTGCGGACACTCGCACATACTGAGAATGGACACGTGTACAAACACAGGTGGAAAAAAAAAAGGAAAGGATGAAGACACATTTACAGGCACTTAACTCATGTTGTCATCCTGGAGAGAAAGGATTGGGTCACCTTTCCTGTCTTTGGGCCCAGACCACCAAAGCTGATGTCTCCATAAGCATCAGTGGGGACTTCACGAACGTGTTTGTGTTTGTCCCACGACTCCCCAGTGAAGTCCTCTGGCTTGATGGCTTCTTCCACATGATCGCTTTTTGAGTAACCGCACTTACATACATCCTCTCTGGTGGGGTAACAGAGGACAGAGTAGCATAACATGTGCACATGCCCGGCAGTGTTGATATGTGATCCCTCAGCAGACAGTGTGATACAAGTAGCAGCTGCTGGAGAGAATTAATTTATTCAATCATGCAGCTTTTCATCAGTATCTCTGTGTCATCGTGCACTGGCAGAATCTACAAGGTCACTCAGTCTTGCAACAAACCAACACAGTACAAAGCAGCTCGGCCTACCTGACACCTTTTTCAAACAGGCCACATTCCTTCTTGCAGATGTTTTGCCTGATCCAGGAGCCGAACGCACAGCGCTGGAAAGAAGGGGAGAGAGAGAGATGCTTAGAGGGTCTGGCTACGCTGATTGCCAGCGCGTGAATGGGCACAGACTCCACGTCAGCTTCTCCCATCCCGGAGATAACAACATGGGAGGGCCACGCTGCACAGATCTGCCCCACGCAGGCCGAGAGCCGACAGCCTGACAGGAGAGAGGAGCCTCTGCGGGCGGTGCTGTGGTGCTGGCTCACACTCAGCACTGCATCAGTGATGTCAGTGCTGAGCCACCCCAGAGGAAAATCTGACCAAACCTCCTCCTAATGTGATAAATACGTTGCCCAACTCCTGATCAATAAATTACTGCAGTACTGAGAGTGGATTAGTAACATGACACAACAGGATGAAAAATACTGCAGTTTTTTTTTTTTTTAAAGAATCATTTGCAGTTTGTAATATTGATATTGACAAATAATGTATCTCAGTACAGTTTTGTGGTGCTTTTGGGGAAATACTGTATTTTACCNTAATAATGTAAAAAAGGTTCAAATTTTAAATTTGGTGGTGAAGGCACAGATAACTCAACAGTCCCTCACCGGAAACAAATCTAAAACCTCAGTGAAACAAATACAGACAGAGTGAACTCTGTACAAAGGAACCCTTGGTCTAAAGTCAGCTCTAGTCCGTGGGCTGACCAATGAGCTGCCGTCCTGGGACAGCTGAGGACTGGTTCCTGACCAGTAGTTACCAGTCTCTCCTCTGTGGGAAAGAGTGGACTGATGACAGCCACATGTCCCATTCATATGTCACTATTGTGACTGAGAGACCTATCAATAGTGCTTACCATCAACCCACAAGCTCCCACAGAGGCTTTGAAAGCCTTAAAGGAGAAACACTATGAACTTGAGGCTCAGTGGTGAGCCGGGCTGTGGGCTGCCAGAATATCTGAGGTCCCATGGGGCTGGATCAAAAGCTTTCAACGCCTCCTTAGTGGAGTGTGAAGGTTAGACTGATGGTAGGCAGGGTTTAAACCTCAGTGATGCCACCGCATCACATTCATGACACGGGCCGAGGGCTCCTGACATCCAATTAAAAAAACAAACAAATAAAAGAGAAATGGCTGGTAAGGTTTAAAACGATCAATGACTTCAGCAAAGATTTAGAGGAAACCTGTCTCCATAAGTGGAAATACGGGCAGCGAGTGTCTACAGCAGTGTTTGTGATCATTGAACACATCTGGATGTACGGTGTAAACCTCTGTATGTTGTGAGGCTGGGGGGCAGGGCTGAGAGTCAAATGAGAGTGGATCACACACAGGGAAGTAGAAATGAAGTCCCTTCTATATCTTAATGCCTTAAGTAAAGGCCTTTTACCTTCTGCAGTTGAATAAAATAAAAGCTCCATTTTAGGATATATTGAAATCATTTTGCTGACTGAACTTTAATTAGTAGTTGGCTATTTGAAGAGCTGATGCTGATGGAAAGCAAAACCTTGTTTCATTCATGTTCTCTGAAGCAAAAGAAAACATGTTTTCTTTTCTAATTTATATTAATGATGTGCGATGTGTCCCTGATCATGTAGGTCTAGCGCAGCGTCCCAATAAACAATGACAGTGTCCACACACACGGAGCCTGAAGCTGAAGCCGCTAAATGAAATTCAGTCATCCCTGACTTCATGATTTAAACGTGTGCTTTTTATTTTAATGCAACTGAGGCTTTACTTCATTCATGAAAATATTTTTGGCTGCAACAAAGTTTACCCCTGAGACTCCAGAGGTGTTTTGTGGACTCACACATTTCACCCACCCCTCCATCAGCATGTTGGTGAGCAGATAATGAGATGATTTTCATTTTTCTGTGAACTATCTCTTTAATAGTCCAGCCAACATGAGTGTCATTTGAACACCCCCCACTAGGTGGAGGTATCGCAGCGCGTCACATCCGATACGCCGTGAAAACTCCACCAGAAGAAGTTGGTGACGTCTGCAGCCGTAAACAAGGTCCGGGCGTCTGAATGAGCAGATTATGATTTAGCCCGGAAGCTAAGAAACTTGGTTTTCTTTTTAGTTCCCTTTAGTTTGGTTTAGCTTGGCGCCTCGGACGCTGTATCACATGGGGACCGAGAGCTTACCATGAAACTCCGGGTGCAGAATGACAGGTGAGCCGCAGCCTTCACAGCCGTCTGTGTGACCCGGGAGCAAACTACAGCTAGCTGCTAATGCTAACCACAGCCCAGTGCTGGTTAGGAAGCGGTCAGCTGTTTGCTATCTGTTCCTTCCTCTGTGTGTGGTGTGTGATCAGAGACTGGTGGGACTCTTATTAACACCCATACAAAGATTAAGACGATCAGGATGAGCTAACGTTTGCACCTTTAACTGCTAATCTAGTCAGTTAAAGTTAGCGAACAAAACTCCAGCTAACTCAACACAGTGATCTCTGTTGATGCTGTGTTACAAACAGTCACAAACAGTAAGTGTCCTGACGCAGAGGGAATGAAGGAATTAGAGTCACGACTGACACTGTGATTCACAGAGAGTACAAGATTTTGATGGTTTATGATTTCTGTGGGTTTGTGGAACACGCCATTCTCCCAGAGGGAGCACTGGTGTGTTTGCTGGACTCCTATGATTTTGTAGCAGACCTCCTCAAAGTGATTTTAACATTTCTTTGTCCTTCATAGACACAACATAAAACAACACAAGCGATGTATAGCACTGTCCTTGTTCAACCTCTGTTTTATATTTAATATTTTGTACCTTTTCTTCTTATACTTCTTTAATATTTTGCTAATATTTTCTTATATTAAGACTTTTTATTCAGTGTTTACTGTTTTTTACTTAAATCTGTGTTGATGGGGAGACCGAGAGTCTGAGAAATTTCAATTCCTCAATATGTCTGTGTATGTATTGCAGAAATTGACAACAAAGCTGACTTTGACTTTTTGTCAATTACAGTTTACTTATTTTGTATTATTCACCATGTGTGGCTGCAGAGGGCGCTGTTTTTGTCAGTAAAAGTTACATAACATTGCTTTAACCTGTTGTTGAAGTCTGATCCTTCAGCTTTTGAGCAGGTGACTAGAATTCTTCCCTCTCATTGAATTACACTTCAGACCTACATGGAATTGTTCTGGTGTAATCTGAATTGAGTTATTCTGATGTCTCACCACCAGAGGTCAGCACCTCACCAATAATCACAGCTGTTCCAACGCTGGGACTCAGCTGAAAAGTATTTTTTGCAGGAGAGGTTGATGCACAAACATTAAGATTAACTTGCATATAACTGATCAAATATCATTATCAAACACAAAGCTGACACCTATAAATCACTTATAGTGAGTCCAAAACCCAAAAAGAGTTTCTTTAGTCCCAACAAAAATAATTGAGAAATGTGTCAATAAAATGCAAACTCATTATTTCTGTTCATCAAATCTAATTTAGTTTATTTCTTACTGTCTATAATTATAACCTCAAGAGTAATAAAAAAAACAAGCCCATATTTACATGATGCCCAGTAAATGTATCATATATTACAATATTATTGGCAACTATGGTCTTTTTGAGACTAGAACTACCTCTGTGTGGTTGTATGCTCTCACCAGTTTACAAACATTTTATTTGCAGACTCACGAGGTCACTGTGACCAATCATCACCCATATCTTAGCAGTTAATGTGAGAATCAAAGTGAACATTTATGCCAACTTTGAAAAGCTTCTCTCAAAGCGATCTTAAAGTAACACGTTCACAAGGCAAAAGGGGTTTTGTGAAGTCAGTGACTTAACCTTTGACCTCATAAAAGTGAGCATTTGTACCAGTGTGTTCACAAGAATATAACATACCAACATGTGGACGGGCAAACTGAAGACATGCCTCTGGCCACTGGTTGTCACTAGTGCAGAGGCATAAGAATGGAAAGCCACATGTACTGTGGATATTTGCATGTATCATAACAATAGACTGAAAGCTGCATCATGGTGATGAGTGAGAATGAGCATCATCGTATTGAATCACACACAAAGCAGAGAGACACTTACCCTTACGGCACAATATTTATTCAACAATATACAGATTAATTTCTCCCTACGTATCAGACTGATCTTCAGTTGCTTTTTTTAAATTTACCTTGCTCTCACCTTTGTACATTCGATATTTACAAGATTTAAAATAAGTCTTTCTCTCCATTTATACAACAGCAGTGGTACAGTGTTATAACATCTTACAGCAGCTTCCCTCGAAGCATCAGATACATCACCGATCATCTGTTTACATTTCATACACTGGCCGACGTCTCTGAGCCACAGAGGAACTGACATGAGGGCTCAACATGCATCCGAAGTCCAGATGTGGCTTTCTCTCGTATCTTACCCACATGAGAGGTGCTTCGCTCTGTGGCAGCACAACAGGGTGTACAAACAGAACTGTTGAATGGGGATGCTGTTGAGGACTCGCACCTTAAATATCAGCTTAAATGCATCAGCCCCATCCCACCCGACAAGGATTAATGAGAGCCTGTATACCAAGAATCGAAAACAAAAGGAAAAAAGGGGAAAAAATGTTGCATAGAATAAATTCTGACTTCAAGAACAGAAATTTTGGTGCTGCCATTTTTAAATGTGGCATTTTGATAAACTCCTGAGACCTTCCAGACCACGGAACTTTTTTTTTTTTTTGGTTTTGAAATGAAAAAATAAAAATAGATAGCTGTACCCTTAGACTAACAAAAATAGCATTGTGTTGGATGTGACATCACATAGAAGTACTACTTTAAAGAGACTAAAACCCTGCATTTAGTGTATACACATTTGCACATCTATATATATATATCATTTATAACTATCTTGAGGAGAGAGGTGGATGGATTAAAGTGCATTATACTGTATGAAACCAAAGCCCACAGTTATCACATGCAGGACAGGAAATGACCTTTGTTCACCAGCAGCAACGGCAGACCTGGCTCCAAGTTAACAAAATATTTCCACAACTTTGAAGAGATTTTTTTTGAAATGTTAGTGGACCACGTGAGGATTTCTGAGCTGATAATTCTGCCAAAATAAATGGAAGATAAAATAATCAGCCACAGCCAATCGGACGTGTGCTAGCCGGCGTTCATTTCCCGCCCCGATCACATGCAAATAACACCAGACACTGAGGGATTACTCTAAGTCAACATACAGTACCAACATGGCTGCTGGTAAATCTCGGTCAGGGGCACTCATATATTAATGACATGAACACGTCACCAGTTTTAAAAACAGCAAAAGGGTGCCACTCAACTCACAGCAAAATACAGCAAATGGTAACACAGCTCGCTGGGAGCAACACAGCACAGAGGATGACGGCAGACAGACCAGGTGAGAGCGTGAACTGCACTCTTCTTCTTCTTCCGCAGTCCAGTCCAGCAGGAGGAGGAGGAGGAGGAGGAGCGTCGTGAGGCCAAAGGGCCAGCAATCGAACGCTGATTGGCCTGAAATGTTTAAGGGGGAAAACACCACAGGAGCAGCGGCTGTGGGACGGTTTTTCAGCACAGCAGGAGACATTTTCACTGCAGACTGAACTGACTTTTATATACATTAATCATTCACCCTCGTTTTCAACGAGCACGTGAGCAAGACGTGGGGAAATGCAATACAACAGCTGACGGCTACAGTACACAGACGCTTACTATACTGCTTTTTAACGTGAACAGCAAAGCTTAGTAATGATTGTGAAAGTACAGTGTGTCGCACACACGAGTGACAAGTGAAAAGAAGGTTCATGGCAAAAAAGGTGAAGCCGCATCTAAGGGCACGTTGAGCCACACGTCCAAAAATCCCTTTTTGTGCCTTAAATTTAAAATAAGACAAGTAAACAGAAAAAAAGGCATTTTAACTTAAGACACCCAAGCGAAAAAGATTAAGAGGATGTGTGTTGGCACATCTGGCAAAAGACGAGACTTGGGTCCAACTTGTTAAATCACGCATCTAAAAATCAGCAGTGCTTTGCAGGGCACGAAACATGCAGACAAGCACGCCATGTTTTAAAATCACTCAGTCTGGGCAGGAAACACTAGAGAAGGTTAGCTAGCACTGTGCACAGATGCAGGCATTTAACAGCAGAGAAGATCCAACTCCATGCACGTGAGGAGAACAAAATTGCACTTTGAAAATTATTCCATAAATAAAAAGATAAGCAGGACATTTCTCTAGGTAAATTATCAGGTTAACTCCCAGTGTGGTTGTTTGATATATGACAGAGAAAATGAAAACCTGAAGACAGAGGTTGTGAGTTTGTGCACAATGCGATTGAACTGAAATGCGCGGCCCAGAATTTCAGTCGAAACTCCTCAGATTCATCAGTGTCGTTATAGTTGCAGTGTGAAACCTTGTTGGTCCCTCGCTATACTGGTCGAGTGCTCCGGTTTCAAACCTAATGGGGTCTTTAATCCTGCATCTGATTGGGAGACAGGTGTCTGAGTGGCAGGTGAACACACAATGAGGTAGAACAAAATGTTTCATGAGCATCCAATCAGAGCGCAGCTCGACGAGACCACCATCGTGGTTACTGCTGATCTACAGTGACTAGTATGATCCTCCAGCGGCAAATTCAACGGATCAGAGACAACGCCACGCACACGCCTCGACACCAATAAGTGCTTTCAGATTTCAATGGTTTAAACCAGAAAAAACAATCCAATACAAAATACAGTCATTGCCTTTAGCTTCAGACACAAACCTGCACCGTCTCAATGTTTTCATCCAGTTCTTACTCAAGTTTCAGCTTTTATATCAAATCACAAGAGGAATTCTTTCCTCCTGTAGCTGCACAGTAGTGATTTGCCAGGTTAAAAGTCTGGGGCAAGACAAACCCTTATCACATTCCAGTTTGGTTTAACAACAATCTTAAAAGTTTGATTTTATAGATCAAATCAGATAATAATTATTATTACAATAATTTTCAGAACAAAATTCAAGTCGAGGGCTGAGAATCATTTGGAACTGACAAAATCTGATTTCAGCATAGTGAACGAAAACAAAATCTATCTTCTTTGGATTGTAATTAACTAAATATTATTAATTTTTCGTAAAACCATTTCCCATTTTAACAGCAATTAAAAAGGAAGATAATCAGCAAGAACGATTGCACGTGAGCCCGGGAATGACAGGGAAGGAATGAAGAGAACTCTTCAGTGACGATAAGTGTTATTGCTGATTCATGACGACTGATTCAGTCAGGAACTCAAGAAAAATCTGAAATGTCATACTTCCCCTACAGCTAGCGTGGCATCCTTACGACTTTTCTCTCCACGAAAACAGCAGGGACTCTTTAATGCTCGACTGTGGTAACCGAAGTGGGCTGCTATGATTTTACTACTTTCTTGTTGCATTCTCAGTAACTGCAGGACAATTTTTATTTAATGGATGTTGAAAGGGTGTGTTCCTTAACACACACACACACACGTTTTCACACACAGGTAGACAGAAGTTGTAGGAGTCAATGGTGTGTTCGCACCGAAAATGGAGCAAATTTTCACGACGCTTTAAACGCGCTTCACCATCATTCGTGTTTATTCCGGTAAATCGCGTGTTGTGGAAAAACAGCTTGGGGACTGTCACCGGCTCAAAAGGGAGCTTTGTCTAGATGACTATGGTTTCCAGCTCCACCTGAGGCTGAGCAGAGACCAGTTTGATCCCTCTCTAGCTCGGGTCGGTGCCAGGACTGAGTTCACAGAGTTTCATTCTCAGCGCCGATTGGATGATGGGACATTGCATCACGCAAATTTGACCGAAAGTTCAAAGATTTCAACTTGAGCTTGGCATTTGTCAAAACGCCCAGGGCTCTCTCTCACTTTGTATGTAATCACGCCGCGTTCGGTGTTAACACACTTTGATGGTTAAGTTTTGCATGTCTGTGTGTGTGTGTGTGTGTATTATGCCCTGCACGTTAGACCTGTGATATGATCTGCATGTTGAAGCTGGGGGAGCGGGACTGCTTGGTGAGGGGAGCTCCAGGAGACAGGAGGTCCTGGGCATCCTCTGGCCTGATCAGGTGCTCCTCCTGCAGGCTAATGGTGGAGTGGCGGTGGGAGCCGCCTGCTGGAAGCTCCCCTTCCTTGTCTGAGCCTCCCAGTGCTTCCTCTCGCTCGTCCTTGCCTCCGTTCAGGTTGAAATTCATGCAGTCAAAGGACTTACTGGAGGAGGTGCTACCAGTCCGCACTAGTGTGGGCCCCACAGGGAAGCTCAGGTGCTTCTTTATGGGGCTCAGCTGGATGGCATCCAAGGTGATGCTGGCTGGAGGCGACTGCTGCCTCTGGTGATGCCTCCTTGCAGCCGCCTGGTGATCAGTAGACAATTCGGCCTGTTTTTCTGCTGCTCTCTCCCGCTCCCGCTCTTTCTCTCTCTCTTTGTCCCGTGACAGTCGGGCTGTGATGGCTTTCTTGATGCTGCTGCTGCTGCTGTTCAGGCTGCCGCCCCGTGGCCCTACGCTGCCGCTTGCCTTGATGCCGCTGGGCTGGCTGCTGTTGGATGCCCCGGAGGAGAAACCCTCGTCTGGGTCATTGACGTTGAAGGAATCTTCCCCGCCGCTCATGCCATCAGCATCTGAACACATGCACAAACATACAGAGAAAGAAAGGATGATAGATAAATGGAGAGGTGGGTGAAGCAGACAACAAATGACATGACAAATCTGACTAAAATCTGACTATGATGTAACGTAACCCTATTGCTTTCAGTCTTGAGGGGCAAAGTTCAATTTTACGTTTCGGAAATAACTTCTAAAATACTTATAAATAGCTATAAATAATAAAGTACACAAAATTTCAGTAATCTAGAGAAAGGATGGAAATTCTGCTGCTAATTCTCATTAACTGTGATGTCAACTGGCCAGTGATAAAGTAATCTGAGTAGTGATAGTAACATTAAGTGCTTAAAAACAATGCAGAGGAGGAGGCTAATTTATTAGCCTTCTAACAGGCAAGCACTGGCACTGCCTCTTGACAGAGCTTACTGCTTCATTAGCTCACTCTTGCACCAGACTGAAGAACAATTCAATACAGTGCACAATGACCTTGAGCTCTGATGATCTGATGTAATCTGGATTGACTAAAAGAATGACTGGCTGTTTGTTTAGCAAACACGTGAGTTCAATAACCAGCCTGATCAGTGAGTAGAGGCATATTCAAAATATTAAACATTAACATTTCCTAACTCCTTTGTTGAATTTATACAGGTAAAGGAACGACATAAAGAAATCGAAACAATTAATTATTCTTTGTCCATTTAAGACTTCTTTGTTTGAAAGCTGGAAGAGAAAAAGATGATAAACTGTGTTAGGAAAAAAAAATCAAGTTATTGACATACAATATGGAGGGAAACGCTTGTTAAAAGAAGAGGCAGAGAATCAGCCATCTGTCTCCGTCATGCATTGTTGGGACAAGCAGAAATTGGACGATAGGGAACCGCAGGCAGCACCAGGACTGACATGCACATAACATGGAGAGAAGACACATGCTCTCCCCTCCAGCCCCATCCCTCCTTTCTCCCACAACGCTGGCCCGGCAGTCACATGGTTTGGCCGGCTGAGACGGGCCTGCGGAGCCCGCTGAGGCGAGTCTCTACACCTCATCAGATCAATAGCACTCCAGTTAGAGCTGACAGACCACAAGGCTGAAAAAGGGGGCCTGTCTGCAAGCCATCACAAGCCAACCCAATCCCAAACGTCCAAAACAGGGCCACAATTAAAAAGGACTGAACTAGTGTTTTTGCATGTTTCAGCCTTGACTAGTTTGGTTATTTAATGCTTGTTACTGGTGTCCAGTCATTTCAGTGTGCTATGAAAATCCACCTGCAGAGGTTAATCCACTTCAATATCCACAATTTTTCTTTGCCTCAATTTTGGAATTTGGTTTGTTTGTATGTTTTAATGCAGCTGTCAGGAAGGAACCATTACAAAAACTATTGTTTAATGTTGTGCTCAAAGACACCATGAGAGGAAAAAGAGAGTCCAGATGCTTCTAACAATATAGTGACTGAGCGAATTTGATGAGGATTTCTTTACAGTTAAATCGAACTGCAAAGTATAATTCTATTAGATAACCTCTCATGCCATCTTTTTTTAAAACCTACAATAGCCCTTAGATGCTGTTGTAGACGTCAATGGTTCCCTAGAAATAAGGAAAATCAATCAAAAACATATCTCTGTGAAAATGGTTGTTACGCAAAGGAAATGCACTCTTAGTTAACAGGACTAAACATGCAAAACCAGCAGTGTGGTAATATCAGCCCCAAATTAAAGGAAGTGTATTGTTTGTTATTTCTTTCTGAAAAAAAAAGTCCAGTTAGTGCACAGATGCTGGGTGATAAATCTGAAAAATAATCACTTTTCTCTGACTGGCAGATTTCTACCAATAAAACAACCGTGAGGATCATGGGAAGAAGACGGGATGGTACTCCAGACAAACACTGACCATTAAGTTTGGGAATGGGAGTTGATCTTCGACATTCCACACATGGAAACGGACACACACATTCAACAAGACAAAACGGGCCTTTTGATAGGTTGGACCAAGAATTATGTTTGACTCTCCTGAGTTTGTTTGGCTGGTCCTTTCAAGTGTTAGTGATCCAGGGGAAAAAAAATCTAAACTTGCTGTGGCGTGCGCATGCAGGATGAAGGGCTCGTTCCCACTCACTGAGCGGAGGAAAAAGAAATGCAACACAAACTGAGCAAACAATAAAGCTGTTGGACAGAAAAAAACAAAGGAAGGCCTCATTCTGCAGAATGATGGCAGCAGATGGGTGCCATTGGCCTGAGTGACCCATAACTTATGGCGCTGTCAAACATCATGAGGGACAGGTTTCGGGTACTCTGTGCCAGTTTGTAAAACGGATATATTTTTCCGGTTAACATTATGGAAAAAAACAAATCCATAAGCCAATTATCAGACATGGAGGGTTGAGAAAACCCAAGAGTAAAGGGTTACGCTGCAGGTTGGGCACTGAACATGCTCAGTGAGTGACAAGGGCAGCAGTCTAGCAGTCAGACGCTGGAGGATGCATGACGAGGATAGAGGCAGCATATGACATGATTACAGGCCCATGCAAAATGGCCACTAGCGACACTTCCTTCAAACCCAGAATAGGCGACTCTTCCACTCTTCTGTGAGATGAAAAACAGTAGCGGTCTGGTAGTAGAGGGGTTGTTGGTTGAGGGTCATATAAACTGGATGAGTTAGTATACTCTGGGGGAAGTGAAGAAAAAGCCAAAATGGGAAGTGCAGAGTTAAGCCCCTCGACTTGGAGGAGGGGTAAGAGGAGGAAGAGGAGGGTGGGGAGGATACAGATGGAAGTGGGCACCTCCTCCTGAGACCCTCTCTTCTCTGAGCATCCACCCCTGTCCCCTACCCTCAAGTGTGATGGGGGGAATGATGCTGCTGCTGCTGCTGCTGTGGTGGCTGTGAGCTCGCCCTCGTCTTTCCTCTTTGGCTGCTGCGTCCCAGGGAGTGTGGTGGTGGTGGTGGTGGTGGTGGGCTGGGCTAGGAGGATTGACGATGAAGCTCAACTCTGCATCGGTTGAGTAGTCAAAACAATCTGGGAGTCAACAACACAGACGGGGAAACGCGTTTCTTTAGTGGCAGCAAGCGTCAAACGAGTCGGGTCTCATCATGGGCACAGCAGGTGTGTAAATGTGTAGTTTACAAAATATAGAAATTCTATATTAAAAATAAACTGCTCCATTAATTGCCCATCTACTGGGTAAAATGGAGTCAGTAGACTCTACAGGCACCATTTTGTTTTGGAGTTTCTCTTAAACCACAAACAGTCATTGTAAAATCGAAATACAAAGCACAGAAAACACTTAAGACAAAATGGGTGGCACAGGCACTGCAACACAGAGACCACATGACCACAACTACATATTATAAATGACACAAAACACCATTTGGACGATGTTCATGGTGTGACTGGGTTACACAAGAACTTTTTCTTCTCACTGCTAAGGACAAACAACAGAAAAATCTTTTTCTCACCAAAGAGATCCGTCTTGTGGCCTTTTACTTATAAAAAACAAAGGAACAGCTCATGAGGTTAACTGATCACTGGTCCTTCTCCTTGTTTCCTTTCCAAACTACCTTGCGATGATTATATTAATGATCTACTGTTCTGTCACTTCTGATGAGATCTCTCCTGCATTGAGGCCTCGTTCACTTCGCTGTGTGAGTGTCTCCAAGATTTTCCTGCTTCTCCCAGGGCTTTCATCTTACCCTCTCTTTTCCAGCGGTGGCGCCGTATGGAGGCAGTTGTGATGGCTGAGATAGAGATGCGGCTTATGGTTGGCGTCACCTCCACTTGGAGCACCTTGCGCCCCTGCGACTCGTCGGGAGCACTTTCTGGCAGCGAGTTCTTCATAGCGTTCCCCAGCTGAAAGCAATACAAACACAGATCAAGTACAATATTACAATATCTAAAGCCTGACGACTGTTTTATTGACATTCTGGGGTGATTTGCAAAAAACCTGGAGGATCAAAAGCATTCCTCTTTCTTCTTTTGTTTTTTTGACTCCACATGTATTGTGCTGTGTGTAATTGACTCCATGCACACTATGCTATTGGTCTTACCAGGAGAGGTTGGGAGTAAAGCTCCAGCTGAGCTCTGTACAGAATGTCCTCTAGAGCTTCCCGCCCCATCTCCCATTCTCCATTGTATCTGCAAATCACAACAGAGAACACAATTTCAACACATAAACACATTGGTATTCAAAGACGTCATGTTGTGAAGCAATTTTTTTTTGAGTAAACAGGAGTGTCTGACAAGATGCCTTGATGTCTGAGTCACTTCCCCCTGAACTATTATTAGTAACCTAGTAATGTCTGCAGCTGCAGTGAGGGAGGGAAAGAGGTTGGACTAAGGTTAAATGTGCAGAGCCTGTGCAAGAAATATGCAAAACCACGTGATATTTTTATCACTCATCTTTTTGCTGAGATACAAGTAGTTGTTAGCTTCTCTTCATTGTGGAGGGATGAGAGGAACAAAAATAAATTATATGAAGAAAGAAAAGAATGTGTATGGTTGGACTCTCTCTGATCTGTTCCTGTGCATGCAACAATCACGCAACCAAGGACAACGTCTGGGTTTTTCAGACTCAAGATGAAAAGAAAAAAAAGGATAGAGGGGCAGGTGAAACACAGACTCTGATGTTGTGAAGACTGAAAACATAATTCAAACCTGATACAGGTAGAAAACATTTAATTGGGAGTGTCTCTTGACAGTATTTGTTCAGATAAATCCTGCACGTCACCCTCTCTCTCTTCATGTGGCATTAGGGGACATAATGCCAACCTAAATCTCAGAAGTGCCATGGTCCCTGAGCATGTGCGGAGCTGTTTGCCCTTCATGTGCACCTGCGCAGGCCAAGGGTGAATATGAGAGCTCCAACTGGCAATGAGGTTACCTATGGTAGGGATTACTAAAAAGGCTATTATTCTGTGTCACACGCAGTGGCACAGACTGCTCCTGATTGGTGCTGCATACCTTAATGGAGACAATAAGGTAGCACACACACTAATTCTCTCCCACTCTCCTTGCCACACAATCCTTAACGGTATCAGGGGATCCATCTCTGTGGATGAGCTGTCACAGAGGAGCCGTAATCAGCTTTGCAACGACTGACCTCATCGCGGGATGAAATCACGTGCTCCCACAATGCACTGCCGATGAAATCAGTCAGTACAGTGGGGAGCCGCTGTGCTTGGTAGAGTGCTAGCATATGCTGTTACGAGATTTTCTGCAGTAGATCACCGCAAACTACAATTGAGACTGCCCTCATTAGAGACGTCCCACAGAGGCAAACAGTGAGAGCTCATAAAGAATCTCTGTACACACGTCTGAAGAAAAATTATGAAAGTTATTTCAAATTGGTTGCTCGTTATTCTCGTAAAATGTTTTACACCTTGATTGGAGTTTACCTATGGTAGATTAAATTGATTGGACATGATCTTAAAAGGCAAATATGCTCCCATCACTTTCTATATTAAGTCTCATTGTTGACAATTTCCTGTAAATACCAATCCATGAAGTCCAAGGAACTGGCTGCAGAGACAGGAATGTCTAGGGAAGGTTCTCAAAAAGTGTGGCTTCCATAATTCTTAAATGAAATTGTTTCAGGCAGAGGCAACATAAAATGTAAATAGGTAGATGATTTTTTTTGGACTGTATGTACAGTACTTTCTGTGTTGATAGTAATAACTATTTATTTCAGCTTTAAAGGATACATACATGGCATGATACACAGCAGTCAGCATCTGCACCATAAACTCAGGGTCCAGCAGCACACGGTTGCAAGGTTCCCGCCAAAGCTTCTGTTGCTGCCGAGGGAAGCCACATACACACAACCTGAGGAGGGAAAATACACACACCACACACACAGGAAATGACTAAGGTGAGTAAAGCCAACAAGGCAGTTGAGACAAAGGTTTAGAGATATTTTGCATTTCAAATTCTGTGTGCTAAATCCTCTGAGCGGTGCAGGAAGTCACGGAGCCTGGATGAGAAGAAGATCAACTAAAGATAAGTTGCTGCCTGAGTAAACTGGGAAAAAAAAGATGAAACACATCAAACAGCAAGCTAGGGAAGCCATTTTTGAGGTCAGGTGAGATTAGATGGGGGGCGTTCTACACTGAAAACTCAAAGAGGGAGTGTAGTTCTCGTGCTCTGAAACCTTCAAAGTTTGCAGTCTGTCTAGACAGGCAGAGTTTGCCTCAGGCATTCATCTGCTCACGAACAGAGGGGAAGTCTTCATATCCTGAACCATCTTCACACTGAAGATCCAGTACAGGGCCTCATATTGTGAATTCCATATTGATCCTTTCTTCTAACAACAGGGTATCTCACACACAGACAGACACAGAAAGGTATCCAGCAGTAGTGCTTTCATTTTGCCAATTGTAACACTGAGCTCTAATGAAATCGTACTTATCAAATCCTCCTGCGAAGAGGACAGTCAGTATCAAGGCTATACCCTCTGTATGGCTACAGGGTAGAAGAGGTGATTTAATCCCCATTTCAGGAGAGCAAGTAATGAAGGTAGATGAGGGTAGAGGGAGGTCACTAATAACAGAAGGGATGGGGGGGGGGGGACGACTCACATGTTGTGTTTTTCTTACCGTGAGCTCATTCTGCAGATCGACTGATAGGAAGAGATGGGCATGTACACCACAGCAGAGTTGTAGCAGAGCATGAGGAAACACAGCACTTCAAACCTGCAACCGCAAAACACAGTCAGAAAAAAAGAAAATGTATAAAGACAGAGAAAGAGAAAGTAAAGAAAATATTTGTTAAACTCTTTTCTGCACAGGTTCGCAAAGATGTTCGCGTGTACATTTCATCCAGTCCGGGACCCCTGTTTATAAAACAACTAATGTGTCCGCCACCTTACTTCAATGCAATGAAATGAACAGTCAAAAGATTGTGTACAGTTCGATTGTTAATTCAAGTTTTTTTTTATCCATTCTTGTTTAAATGTGACAGCAACTGACTGACATTTTATTTCCATGCAGCAGTGTACTTCTTTTAGAGATATTTGAGGAAAAAGAATATTTCAATGGTCCATTTGCAGCATTACAATTACTGTACCACTGATAAAAAGATGAATGTGGTAATGAAATAAAATGAGAGCAAAATTAAACTACCCACTTTAAATTATTGGTTTTCAGACGTTGAAACAAATCTCAATACTGTACATCTCTCTGTGCTTTCCAGCATGTGAATGTGTGCATGAGCTTGTGTTTGTGTACGCTGATGAAGGACAACCAGGAGCGGGACCTCAAGTGTAAGGGCCATAATTGTCTGTGCGGAGGAGGAGGTAAATGTCATCAGTGTGTGGAGCTCCCACCTCTCAGGAGCTCCAGGCTTTCTTCACATAAACTCTTTCTCAGCAACAGCCACACAAAAGGATTTCCAGATAAACTATGAAGCCTGGCCCAGATAAAATCTATTCAATATATTTATGGCGCTCTATGTTCACCGTATCGAGGCCATTTTGCTTTGGACAACAGGATGACCTGCGTCATCTGCTCTGCCCTTACATTATCAGCACTTGTAGTTCAGTCCGTTTCTGCACGTGCATCGTTGCCAACAAACAAATGTACAAAGAGTGACTCTACTCCTTTTAGTGCGACAGAAAGACATATTTGTCAGGACTACATCGTGCTTCATTATTATGCCAAGATTATCATTCATCCACAGCAGCAGAGAACGTGTCAGAGCCAAAAAAGCTCTCAGGCTTGTAGCATCTGGCCGGAGGGGGTGAGCGACAGTCGAGGGTTATGTTCTGACCATCTTGAAGGGTCTTCTTATCTTACATGGATGGATGGGATGCAAGGTAAAGAAAAATGCTTCATCATGAAAACAATAAATGAATGAGAGATGAGATAAATTATGACATGTGCAAGACAAAAGTTGGATTCAGTCAGTTGGTGCCACGTGTGTTCACTGAAGCCTGAAGCAGCCCACTTTTCCAAAAAGCAAGACTTAGCAACTGTCTCTAACTATCTACTATTTAATCTCTGTTGTGACAGACATAAATAAAGAAGGACGACACGTCTCCACTTCCTCCAACTAACCGGAAATTAAGCTAGTAGTAAGTACTTTGACTTTTTGTTAAGGTCAATATCCCATCCATGAACATGGAGGAGGTGGGATTTATGACCAAGCTGACCAGGTGGTGATCAAGACACTTTCAGTTCACTGTAAAGGGAGCAGTTATGTCATCCATCTTTATACACAGCCTGGTCTCAAATTATTCACTCCCCCTAACAGCTGGCTGAGTCGGAGCCGTACCTGTTCTGCGCTGTGAAGGTCTCTCTCTGTGGGTGGAGGCCGCTGTACACCACTCTGATCAGGTCATGTTGACACAGAGCCCCCTCTGTCAGTGCTATGGACCCCAGACTAGAAGGCTAAACAGACACAGAGAAACCACAGTTAATCAAATACTTGTTAACCATGTTGGCTTTTGCACCACAACAGTAAATTTACAGCAAGGATGGTGCGAGGATGTACCCTTCAAATTGACTTCTTTCTGTTCAGATCATTTATCTGTTTCCAAATTCTGGAACAGAAAGATTTTAGACAATAAACTGCCGACTGTGCAACTGGTCCGCTGAAATCTTAATGTTGCAGTTTTCCTTGTACCTTCCAAAAATTCCTTCATGCAACATAAAGCTTAGAATTTACACACTACTACCTTTCAAATTCTTGATCCAGGTTTCTTTTTTAGTCTCTCTGCTTTATTAAAAGGCTTGTGTACACCTATACTAACCATTTCCTGCAGTGTTTTATAGTGGAGGAGGCCACCTTGCCTCATAAGGATCACCTGCAGTAATTTGACTAAAAGTAATACACTTTAATGAACTAAAATGAAAACTGTTTTTATATTCACATGAGAATGCATCATGAGGCAAAGTCATTCTGGTGGTGTGCATAACAAAAGTCACTTCTTTACTGAATTGATACTCCGTTCTAAGTTTCTTCGGCGACTCTGAGCAGAGGAGGGCAGGACGGATTAATTCAAAGAGAGACTTGAGTGTATGCTAATGCTGGAGGGTTGGGGATAAGGCCATGTGATGTGCCGAACCGTAGTACAGCCTAGGAAGATAGTTTTCTCTCTCTCTCTCTCTCACTCACACACAC